GTTCAATTCTCTAATTGCATGAATAATTAGAAGAGCCTAATTCTAACCAATCAACACGCTACGAGGGTCTCTTTAAGTTAGCCTGTCTATCTCCCTGGCACAAACCCAATCATGCCAGTTGCCACCAGTTTAGAATAATTAAACAATTACGGATTTAACTATCCTAATTGGCTTCAGGTTATTGAATTAATCTAGAATCCGGGCCCTGGATAATCGAATAATAAAACAACCATATGAACATAAAGCAGAAGATAGACAAATACCAGTGAATAATGGAAATAAATAAAAACTAATTCGATCTCACAAATTTAGTAGAACCAAGTCCTCCGTTGTTCTTGATTAGACAAACTTAGCCACGTCTCATGAGAAAATCTTCAAGTAATTTCATTGAGGTCCAGGCCATCAAAAGAGCCAAGAAAGAAACAAAACTAAACTATGCTAAAAAGCTCAACTAAAACTCTCCCTTCAGCCTTTCTTATATAGCCAAAAGGATACATGACACAAGGCTTTCCTTTATCCCGTGGTCCCCGCACGAATTGAGAGTCCAATTCCAATTTACAAGCCTTGTACGTTTCTTTCTCATTTTAAAGTCCAAAAGGAATGATGACTCCAAATGCTCTTATCCCGTGGTCCCCGCCGAGATTGAGAGTCAAACAAACTCAAAAGAAAAGCCTGCCGAATTACTCCTTGTTTCCTAATGTTCCTAGGACTCCTTGTACCAGCCTTCTCTTCATCAGCTAAAAAGGGAAGCCGTTTGTTTGATCTCTTGTGGGACACGTTGAGGGAGCTTCGCAGAAGACTCCCACTTGTGAAGTAATTTGCTTCAAAAAGTCCCTGCTTTTTGTAGTTTTCTGCTCCATTCCCTGGAATTAAGTCCAGATACCAAATATAAGTAAATATCAACAATTAACACAATATTTGATACGAACAAAAGGGGAAATTAATAATAAAATTGCAAACAAATAATGCCCTATCAGTACCTCCCATCAATGATAAACCTTCTCCAGTTTGCTAGCATGATCCATTATTTCTATGGACGAAACCTTTCGGAGTCCGTTTGAGTTTCTTTTGAGTATGGTAGCTTAACAAAATTTCTTTTTTTTAACCCCACTAGTTTGTAATTGTGGCCTCAACTCACCAAAAGATGATGTTCAGATTTGGTAATGGACTTAGGAATATTTAGTTTTTAACCCCACTTATAACTCACTGTCGATAAAGAAGCATAGTAAGGGGCTAACTTTTACTCTACCCGGCAGGAAAAAAGGCCAAAGTGAAGTTACTCTAGAGTCCACCTCCAATCTTGAGTCTAGAGTCCAGACGTTACTCTTTCTTTATGTTTCGTAGAAAGTCTATCAGTTGGATTGTGGAGCATCTGTCTCTAAGCTAGCAGAATCCAAGATACGTCTCATCGACAAGTGTCAACGAAGGCATTTATCGATGTACGACGGTGTGGAAGAGTATTTCCAAAGTCGCAACAACTTGATCCCTATCAGGTACTCCTACAAACAAATCAAGAAGATGACTAACAAGAGGTCACGAGTTCGAGCCTCCGCTTTGCTGGATTTTTCTGCGCATTTAATGTGCTAGGGTCGGGTTGGGGCTCCGGGCCTGGGCAGCAGGGGATTAGTCGAGCCCCGTAAGGATTGATCCAGACACCCCTGTATCGACAAAAAAAAAAAAAAAAAGACTAACAATTTTAAGGAAAAGTTAGGAGTAGGTGGTTATGGTTGTGTGTACAGAGGAAATTTGCGCAGTGGTCGACTAGTAGCAATCAAGATATTGAGCAAGTCCAAAGCTAATGGTCAAGAATTCATCAACGAGGTTTTTATGTTAACTTTTATAATATTTAGTTCAAATTTTTAAATTTTTATTGTCTAATTATTAAATAATATGTAATTTTGCTACATAGAATATGAATGGAAAAAAATTAATAATTAAGCTTATTAAATGTTATAAGTAAATATTTAAAATTAATGATGAGTGCAAAGGAGGGTATATATTGATAACTTAGTTAGTGACAATAAATTTAAATGAGTTTGCAAAACTGAATTCATGCAAATTGGTGGGTTAACTTTGAATAAAGTTAGAACCGGTGAAGAGAGAATCCACGATCCATCCCATACATCATACCAGAAGCAACTACAGGAACCATCAAAATGGGGACCCATCACCTAACATCCTCACATTTCTTTTTTTTTTTTTTTGTTTGCTTTTGATGATGGCTGCTGGCCTGTGTCAAGTCGGCAGCCAACTTATTTTTTTAAAAAAAGTTCCACGCGAGCTGCCGGGCAGAAATTTAAAAAAAAAAAAATTTCTTTTTGCTGCAGCCATAATTTGATACCATAATCTTGTCAAAACTTATACCATAATCCTGTCAGAACCTTATTGTTGCAATTTTTTTTTTCGAACAATAATCTGATCAATTAGCCTATACTCCCTGCAGCCTATATTTTTTGATGCATCGGTCATTTTTTTTCTTGGTTAATTACTTATATCTCTCTTGAAATTTGGCCAAACTGCGAGTCAGGCCTTGAGGTTTATCTATATTGCCAAAAGACCTTAAAAATTATAACTTCCTAACATTTTCACCCTTTCTGTCAATCAACTAAAGAAGAGGGAAAAAAGAAAAAAGAAAAAAATTTACACATTGATACAACTACACAAAAAGTTTTCTACAATTCTTAAAGTAAATTACAGTAAAGTTCATATAAACATCCAAAAAACTCACCATCCAAACGAGGGGATTAATGTTCTAAGTTTGTACTGTGATTGCATTTTTTTTTTTTTTTTTTTTTTTTTGTACATAGAGGACAACCTGCTTACCGTCCCTTCCATTAACCACTCAACCCAACTTTACCCCAATATATTCTGATACCTAATTTACATTATTAAAGAAATGATTTCCTATCTGTTCAATTGAACTTAACCATCCCGGAATTATTGCTGCCCACAGCCCATACAATGTGCGTAACTCCATACGAGTCTGGAAACTCGAGTCCATGGAAATCACCAAGTCTGCCGATATAACAAATTTATAAAAGGGTTATTATCACTTTACCCTTTTAAATTATACCATTACTATCAGTTTACCTCTAACGTTATCTTTTAGTCACTTTACTCCCATGAGTAATTCAACTCAACACGTTAAAAAATTTTGGACAAAAATACCCTTTTATTTTATAGCATTGCTACATTGTTATTATTACTTTATTCGTTTAGATTATAATGATACAATCACTTTAGTTTCTAATATTATTTTCTAAGCATTTTACCTCACCGTTAATCTAACTAGTACGGTCAAAAAAATTTAAATATATTTACCCTTTTTTATATATAATTAAAAATACAAAAATTGGAATGGTTATTCTTCCTTTTTTTTCACTTTAAGAGATCGAAAAACATAAAAATAAAAGGATTTTCTCAAATTTTTTTTCACATTTATTAATACTAGGAAAAGAAAAAGAGATAAGAAAGAAGGAGACAAAAAAATTAGATTTTACAAAAAAAGAAAATAAATAAAAGTCTAACATTATCATATTACTTTAAAGTTGTCAAGATTAGGATTGGAATTTGGTGGTAAACAAAAAGGTGAAATAATTTTAAAATAATAAAAGTATTTAATTCTTTCTTATTTGTAATTTTTAAGAAAAGAATTGAGCTCTCTCTCTCCCCCTCCCCCTCCCCCTCTCCATCTTTCTATTTTTTTCAATATTAATAAGATTGTCAAGAAGAAAGAAATTAATACTTTCACTTTTTTCTTGATACTAAAAAAGAGAAGAGTCACTCTAAATTTTTTATTATTTTTATTATGCAAAGAGGAGGGTATTTTTTTCTAAAGTTTTTTAACTTACTAAGTTGGTTTAATGGTAGGATAAATTGTCTAAAATATAACTCTATGGGGTAAATTGATAATGAGACTATATTTTACGGGGATAAAGTGATAATAATTTTAAGAGTTATACATGTCTTTTCATTTTAATTAACAAACTCCGTTAAGTTTGACCGTTAATTTTGGGGATAAAATGAGTAAAAAATAACATTAAAGGAGAAATTGATAGTAGCACCAATCGTTAAGGGAGTAAAGTGATAATACTCCTTTATAAAATGGAAAGGACAGACCGGAAATTAGTAACGGATAGACTTTGACTCGGTCGGGCTTTCCTATTCGACTTTGACTCAAATGTGGCATTCCTATTCTCAGTCACAGGGTAGAAATTCAAATGTGGCCCCGTTACTCTGCGTCGTCACAGAAATTGAGTTCAAACGCTTTTCGGTCAAAACTGCACATGTTTCTTTTTCTTGGACTGAAAAATGAAAATGCACTAATTTTTAATAGCACGAAACAAAGGAAATCTTGAAATTTCATCTGTTTCTATTTTTTTTTTCCACCTAGGGGGTGTCCCAGCCTTTTTTTGGCCAACTAATCCCCCTAAGGTCAGTAGAACCTTGCCCAAAGATGCCAACAATTTTATCACAGCGGAGTCCAACACGGGATCTTACCATAAAGACGGACTTATCAGTACCGGTCGAACTGCCTGTGCGGGACGTCATCTGTTTCTATTACAAATGACGATTTTTGTCACTTTGATAATTGCTCTAAATCATGAGAAAGTTATTATAATTTTTAAAACCATTGATTATGTAGAAAAAGCATAAAAGTATTATAAGGATAAAATATAAATTTTCCTATTATTTTAGGATTAAAAACCAAAAAACTCCCTGTGATATATCTAATACACAGAAAAATCTCCCATGATTTCAAAACATACAAAACGATATCTCATATTTTAAACTAAATTATAAACCAACAGAATTCGTTAAACTTGAAGGCTTTGTCCATTTAGTGCCATTGGGGGCACACACTTATTAGTGACTCAAGTGTTTACTTTTGGTAGGAGCAGACTTAAAGCTAATATTCATAGATAATAAGTATTCGGTTCTCAATTTTCTACCTAGCCTCTAGAATATTAAATATTACTACTTAAGAGTTTAGACTGAAACATTTACAAAGAAATGCTAAAACTATTCATGCAATAAACCCGATCACTTGTGGCTTTAATCAGTTAATTAACGGTTAGACTCACATCTCTCTTCCTTTCTTTCCAACAATATTAGCAAATTCATCACTATGTTTCTTTCGAAGGCTTTTACAGTGTGTTTGGCCCTGCTCTTTGTAGAGGCAGTTTCAACCAGGATTGATCAACTTGAGGAAGATAAACCAGAGAAAGATCAAAAATGTTATCAACAATTCTACTGCGGGGAAGTCCACATATATGTAACGGGCCTTTTCCGAGTAGAAGGCGGTCCACAAGGCTGCGGTCACCCAAATGTTCGACTCTCTTGCGAGCATAATCGTACCGTACTGTACTTGGGATCTAATTCCAACAAATATTATGTAGAGGAAAAAAGTATCATGAATTTCGGAAGCAGTTCCAAAAGGATTCATGTTATCGATCCTGGGGTGCAGAAGAACAACTGTTCAAGTCTTCCACTTTACTCAATTACTCATTATTCTTATAATCCTTTACATCCACCAGAGCCGCATGATTCAATAGTATTTGTGAGCTGCAAAAGACCAATCGATTCTCCTCTCTATATAGATACTTCTCCTTGTCTCACTGCAAAAGATTTTTACAGTTATGTTGTGTTTGGAAACGATCTGATGGCATCTACTATTGAAGAGACTTGTACCATCTACAAAACTATTACTTCACAGTTTCAGAACTCTCTTGGTGCTGAAACAAGGAACATTTCTTACGGGGACATTCATGACCTGATGGCATCTGGTTTCGAGCTTGAATGGATGGGATACAGCGATAGTTTTTGTTCATCTGCGCTATGCTGTAAGCCAATACCCAAACTATGTCAATTTCTGACTTTCATTAATTATGTGGCTGATTTTTTTAATTGTCAATTTCATAACTAAATAAATACATCCAAATGCAATTTGTTAGTTTATTTTACGTGTTTAATCCTATCACAGATGGGGTAATTGGCAGTGGAGGATTTTTTGGCATTTGGATTGCACTCTCAATTGCATACTACATTTACGAACTCCGCCGCAGGCATTTGTCACTACATGATGCTATAGAAAAGTTTCTCAAAAGTCGAAACAACCTCATTCCCCGAAGGTACTCCTACAGAGAGATAAAGAAGATGAGCAACAATTTTAAGGAGAAATTAGGTGAAGGAGGTTACGGTTCTGTCTACAAAGGGAAATTGCGTGGTGGCCAATTAGTAGCAATCAAGATGCTAACCAAGTCCAAAGCCAATGGCCAAGAATTTATTAATGAGGTTGCTTCACTCGGGAGAATTCACCACGTAAATGTTGTGCGATTAGCGGGATTTTGTGTTACTGCCTCCAAGCGTGCCCTTATTTATGAGTACATGCCTAATGGATCACTAGATAAGTTTATTTTTGCAGAACATTCTAATAGGCTATCATTGAGTTGGAAGAAGGCATTTGAGATCGCCTCAGGCGTGGCTCGTGGGATACAATACTTGCACCAAGGCTGCAACATGCAAATTGTGCATTTTGATATTAAACCACATAACATTTTACTCGATGACAACTTCGTACCAAAGGTTTCAGACTTCGGACTAGCTAAATTACATCCTCTGCAAAACAGTGTAGTGTCTCTCACAGTTGTGAGAGGAACATTGGGATACATGGCTCCAGAACTATTTTACAAGAAAATTGGAAATGTTTCAAACAAGGCTGATGTTTATAGCTTTGGGATGTTACTAATGGAGATGGCAGGAAGGAGGAAGAATATCAATGCTCTTGCTCAGCATTCAAGTCAAATTTACTTTCCCTCATGGATATATGATAAGATTGACCAAGGAGAGGATATGGAAATTGGAGATCATGCAACTGAAGAAGAAAAAACAATTAGAAAAAAATTGATTTTGACAGCATTGTGGTGCATACAGATGATACCTGAGAATCGTCCTTCAATGAGAGAAGTCATAGAAATGCTTGGAGGTGATCTCCAAGACCTGCAATTACCTGCTAAGCCACGCTTTTGTCCTTCAGACTCTCCTGTAAGACATCTTCAAAGTAGTAGTTACAGTTGTTCTGAGGAGCCCACAGAGTCCCCATGTAACTCTGTACCTCTTGAAATAGAGCAGATTGATAGATAAGTAGTGCTCAACTTTGCCATTCTTATTCTTATGGAACTTATCCATGTGTTTTTTTAAATTCCCACTTGGTGTCAATAAAATGGGAAAATACTAGAACTAGATAATATGTACGCCATGCCAACTAATTTTGGTGTTTCATGTGATAAGTTTTTATTCCTCTTGATTCCTAATAGTTGTGTTCCAGTTGATGAATTTTTTATCTATTGTTATAAAATCTTAATAAAAGGACGATGGTAAGGAAGAAGGACCATTGCAAATCATATCCATCAATAAACCATTTCACAAATAGATGGATTGATATATTAGTAGACTTGATTTATATTAGAAAAATTCATGGTAAGGTCCACTTTACCTCACTATTCCAACAGCCAAACAAGTGGGTTTAGCTGCTTATGAGATGGTAGATTAGTAGACTTGATTTATATTTCGAAAAAAAATTCAAAATAAAAAAATTCAGGGTGAGGTCCACTTTGCCTCGCTATTACAACAGCAATTGCTCTTTTAAGTCTTCTGACATTTTCCAGTACAGGTGCTACTAGTCAAATTCTTATACGTAGACTTTTACTTCAACATGTACTACGAAGTTCATTGGATACTTCTTGCTTGGGGATGAATGCTCCACGTTCCAACCGATATACTTTCTACGCAACATGAAGAAAGAGTAATGCCTAGATTCTAGATTGGATTTGGTGGAAACCAAGCGTAGAAGAAAGAAATGGAAGACAGGAAATTAAGACAGGATAAGACGATGACTTCATTTTGGCCATTTTACGTGTGGGCAGAGTTGCAGAAGTTGGCCCTCTGAAAATGCTCCTTTGTGCTCTCAATTAAGACAGGGTAAGACTTTGTGACTTTAGGTTGGCCATTTTTCGTGTAGGGTACAGTTGCAAAAGTTGGACCCTGAAAATTCTCCTTTGTGCCCTCAAAATAGCTGATGTGATGACTGATGAGTTGACTTCTCTTTATGGGGTTTATTTGTAAGGGAGTTTCTTAACGAATGTGAATGCAGAAAAGCCAAACCTTTGCATAGTTTATAGGGATAATTTCAGAAACCTTCCTTGACGTTTCTGACAATTGCACTCGGCTCCCCTTAGGTTTAAGAAATTATACTTACCTCCCTTGACATATTAAAATACTTATAATGTCATCCACTTAATAGACAATTTTAGATTTAAGGCAATAAAATTACAAAACCTAAAAAAATCTATTTTTCTGTCTCTTGTCTATTTTCTATTTAATATAACCTCTTTTTATTATCTTCAATTTTGTAGATATTAACAAATTGAAATTACAAAATCTACAAAGGAGTAAATTATATGTCAAACTAGAAGGAAATGAAGAGGCTCGCAGTGATAGAAAAATAAATAATGAAATTGATGATTGAAATAGGAAAAAGAACTAAAGATGTGAAATTTGTCATATTTTATTTATTGTTAAGAAAAACTTTTATAAAATGTCAATAATTACATAATGATTTCTTTCATTGGATTAGAAATTTTTTATTATGATCTTATTGTGGAGGTAGAATTTATTCTCAACTTTTGAGATATTAATATTTTAAGACCATATGAGACTTGTAATGGTGGTTCCAGGTCAAATTAATTTATATTGAAAAGGTATTTGAGCATTGATATTTAATTTGGGGATATAAAATTGGTTGTCAATAGGATTTTGTATGTTTTTTTTATTGTGGTAAGTATTGATATGTATGTAAAATTGTTTTTTTTTTTGGATGGTTAATTGATTTAGAACTTATATTTGGATGATTGTTAGGGATTTGGTTTATTAATTTATGCAAAGTGTGGAAGAAAATGATTGAGTATACTATATTTTTCTTTCTTAATTTTGTATAAAAGAGTAATTTAGGATTTTTGAAAGAAAATCTAAACTCTTGGACCTACATTTTTACTAAACAGTAAAAGTATGAGAGGTATATGTAATTTTTAAAACCTGAGGGGAGCTCTTTGTAATAGTGAGAAACCTCAGGGAAGGTTTGTGAAATTATCCCTAGTTTATATGAAGGGCATCAATTGTGGAAACACACTTTTTTTCAAAATGTGCTCACGTGATGGTTTGATTATTTCCCTTCATATAAGGTTGCACTGCCCTATTGGACAATTCTCCCCTCTTTTTTTTTTATTAAAAAAGTTACTTAGCTTGAACATTAAGAAATTTCTTGCAAGTTCTTTTTTCAAGATAAATTTACATTTAAACAATAAACTCCGGATCTCTTACTCTTGAGATTGAGCCTTGATCACTAAACCAAAGTTTATCAAGAAACTTTTTACAGGTTTAAAATGGAGATACTCCGTTTTACATGTTAGAAGACTAAAGCAAGCCTTTAACAAAATGGAAGGGACTATATGACAAGTAAGATAAGATGATAAATATGTTGTGGTGGTACCGGGACGGAAGAGTTTACATTTAAGGGATAATTTTAGAAACCTCTCTGAGGTTTTAGACTATTGCAGGTAGCTCTTCCCTAATTTAAAAAATTATATATATCTCTCCTATTATTAGCATTTCAGTAACAATATAGATCTAATATGCTAAATTTGTCCTCAAAAATCCTATAATACCCCTTTGTTAGTTAGAAGGGGGAAAACTAACTCATGAATTTCTTCCACATTGCAACTATTCTGCATAACCACCATCCTAGCGAATTAAATAAGCTACTTCAACTTAATCCCTATATTCTCACAATTTTGATAGTCCACCTTTGCTGCCCTAGAGCTACCCAAATTTTTTTTTTTTGGCCTAAGTTCTTCCTAAAGCTTCCCTAAATTCTTCTCCAATTTTTTTTGCCACCCCAAAGCTTCCCAATTTTTTTTTGTCTAAATATTTGCATTCAATATAATATTTAGCCTCAATTTTTTAAACCTAAATTCAGCGTTTGAATTGGCCAATATTACTATCCAAACTCAATCCAAATGGCTGCAAACTTTGTTGATACTAAAATAATTTAACCCACCAAGAATACTAATACGGAGCAACCAAAAGCAACACTAGAGATGATATCCAATGTCTCTAGGCAAATATAATTATAGTTTTTATATTCCAAAATTCTTTTTTGCACAATTAGCATAATAGCATACCCTTCCTTATTCCATATTCCTTTTTAGCCATCACTTTTATTTTCTTGTCTATGCGCTATATCACCGCCATCCTTTTATATCTTGATTTTCTTTGGCAACAAATTTGCTCCGGTAACTTGTCATTTAGCAATTTCAATTCGATAATACTTATAAAAAAAGAAAATAAAAAAAGATAGAGGATCTATTTCTATAATGATGAGGATTCGAGATGTATTAGATGGTTGTGTAGATGGTAGCAGTGAAAAATGAGTGAATTATGAGATGCAAGAGAGATAAGGAAGGATAGAGAGTCGGAGAGAGAGAATAAAAGTTTGCTTTGTGTGGCAGCCGTTACTTTAGAATTAAAAACTAGTTGTAGTTGTAGAGTTTTTTTGTTTGTAGGAATTATCTATAAGTTAATGATATTATAGTCATTTTACTGCATGAAGGGAGGTTAGTGTAATTATTCAAATTTGAAGGGAGGTGAGTAAAATAGTCAAAAACCTCAGGGGAGGTTTCTAAAATTATCCCTACATATAAACTAGGAAAAAGTGCACTTTCAGTATCCCTATTATATTGGTTAGCTGTTTAACCAATTTGGTCCTAATTGTTTAAGCAAAAGCATGTCTCGTCCCTTAAGCTTTGATTTTTTATTATCAATTTGGAACAATTAACATTTAGCTATAATTTCAAAAACCTCCCCTAAAGTTTCTGACAGTCCCCCTGCCCTCCCCTGAGCTTTTAAAAATATCGAAAACCTCTCTTAAAACTAATTAGCTGGTAACAAATCAGCCCAATTCCAATACAAAATAGTATAAAATTGGTATTAGGAGAGAGAATAATTTCATTCCATAACCAGTCTCAAGTTTTGCATTAAGTAGTTAGAATACTATGAAAAAATATATGTATCTTAACTTTATCAAATGTGAGGGTGTGTAAGTGAAATTGCTTAGAAAAACAAGGCTTCAATTTCAAGATTGTGCAACTATTACTGCTTCATAGAGCATAAACAAAAGATCAACTTTGTAACTCTACAACAAGTTTAGCAATTCAAAGTCTCATCTATATATTGCACGTATAATATCATATTATTACATCTATTACAACATATCAGGTGCATACTCTACTATAACAGAAACAAAGCATGTAAGCCCTTCTACAGCCGAAATTTCAGTTTTAAAAAAGACCACTTGTTGAATAATCACAAATAAGTAAAATATTGTCATCATTAAAAGGTTTTTCAATTTATTAGCATACAATGAACAATCTTTATCTATATTGCATATAACACCAACATCTATTTTCATGACAATAAAAGTAACAATCAGGATATTAAAAAAAAAAGGACTATACTTGAGTACTGATCATTAAATGGAGTAGATCATATAAAACATAATACAAACTACATAATGTCATATTTTCCATTTTTTGTTTGATCCAAAATATTCTTTTTCACTTGCAGGGTCACTATTAAGCATGATCATCAAGAACTACCTTAACATGTACAATCAAATAATAAAAATTTCCAAAATTTAAGAACAAAAAAATCTTAAGAGGTTGACCTTGAGATTTTCACATACATCAAAATTTTGACAAAAATTTGAAAACAAATTTCCTCTTCAAGTCTCCTAAATCCTTAAATATGCCTAAAAAAGCTCTATTTCTCTCTAAATGATTGCGTCAACTCATGCACATCAATTATTAATCACACAAAGGCGCTTATATTTGGCCCCCTTTTGTAATGGTATATTAGAAATTTTTGACAAAACACTTATAAATTGTCATTATTTCTATTCAACGTAGTTAATAACAATTTAACTAATCATATAAACATAAATGCAAAATATCTCTTAAGCTATGTGGGTAATTAAGTCATTTCTCTGTGATTGATGTAATAATTGGACCCCAATGATCGGACAGGGAAGGTTTCTGATATTTTAGAAACTTCAGGGGAGAGCAAGAGACTGTCAGAAATCTCAGAAGAGGTTTCTAAAATTATTCATAACATTTAATTACTAATTTGGGTTAAATTTGACATTTACCACTAGTTTACACTAGTTTGGTATAATTTTGGTATAAACATAAGTTTGTTAACT